TCGGTAGCTCCTTCCCATCTCTGATCCGCTCTAGCAAGACTTCTTGAGCCCGTTGCAAACCCATGGAGTAATTGGCTTGCCCCTCTTTGAAGAGGAAACGTTGGCCGGCGGGAGTTCGAGCCCAGATCTTTAGGAGATCGTCCATGCGGGCGAGAGCCGCCTCCTCGAACTCGGGGGAGGTCTGAAAGGCCTCGACCACGTGCTCGGCTTCCTCGTCCAGGCGGCGTACCTTCTCCTCAGCAGCAGTGCGAGCCCGCTCCTCGGCATCAGCAAGCTCCCCCTCGAGGCCAGCCACGTGCTCCTGCAACCTCCGAAGCTCCTCTTCGCCTTTTGCCTTCTCCGCCACATACCACTCGAAGCGCTCCACCAGCTCTGGGGCGCGCATGGCCACCTACAACAACAATGAAAATTTGGCAAATTTTGTTAGAATCCATCTAAGTGTCGGGCAGAAACGCACGTCATACCCTAGCAAAGAACGCTTACTGAGCCCAACTCGAGCAAGAGAGTGGAGGCGAGGTCTTTCGAGGCGGCCGAACTTATCTCCATTCGGTCTGGCGGAGGGATGAAGCTCTGCAGAAAACGGCGAGGCTCATAGTCCCCATGCAAGAATGAAGGCTTGAGGGGGAATGCCACCTTCACGAAGGCTGGGTTTCCGCAGTCCACCGAGCGCGAGGGTGGAGACCTCGCCCTGCTCAGCGAAGCCCCTTCCATCGAGGAGCTCACATCCTTGCGCTTCTTACTCGCCTGGGCATGCTCGGCGGACGGTGTGGGAGTTGGAAGCGGAGGTCGTTCTTTGCCGGACTCCGATCGCGGCTTGGACTTGAACAGCTTCTTCCTATCGGCCGCGAAGATCATGATTTCACCTGCAAGGAAGATAAGATATTAGTTCGAATCCCTACAAGGAGCCCCTACCCGCTAAGGAAGTGAACGAGGGAAACCTGAGGGTCCTTCTTCAAGCTGACTCTGGACAACCCGGCGCTTGGGCTCGTCCTCATCATGGAAGACGAACCCAAACTTGGACAGAGCCTCGTCATTCACTAAGACCCCGGGCTCGTAGGGGCCACCCGAACACAACTTGTCTGTATCAGCGATAGCCTTGGAAGAGGCAAAGGGTTTGGATCGTCTACGAAAAGAACTGAGGGGGGACTCTCGGAAGGGGGAGGTTGACCCCACGGAGACGAAGACAAACTTGGACTTCCAAGTCTTGTTGGATTCCTTCTTGGTTTTAAAAAGTCTCTCTTGCCGCTGGCATAGGGCGGCGAAAGAACCCCCGTCCGACCCGGAAGACTTTGCCACTCGGAACAAAGTCATTAGGCGCTCAAGGTCGACTCGCACGCCCATCTCCCGGCAGCGGATCAAGAACCCCGCTAAGTACCAGTAGGAGTTCGGCACCAGTTGGCACAGGAGGAAGTCAAAGTAATTGAAGAAGTCGATGACCAAAGATTCGAGGGGGAAGCGGAAGCCGCTCTCAAGGGACTTGAGATGGATGGCAAAGTAGCCCGGAGGAGCGTCGAAGACTGGCTCATCCGGGGTAGGGCGACGGACGGTGACAAGGGGGCCGGCGTAGCGCACCACCCTGAGAAACTCGTCACTCGACAAGTCGCACTTGCACTCGCGGATGAGCGAGTCCACGAGCAATGTTTGTTTCTGGAGGCGAGGCTCACTAACCCCGGGCACCTCGACAGCCGTGATCTCCTCAACGGACGGGGAACCCGGCTGCTCCGCTCGGTCGCCCTGAGCCCCGGACCCATGACTGTCGAGCCCGAGCTCGCGCACGGCCTCGGACGTGCGAACAGAGGACGACTCGATAGACATGGAATAGCAGGGCAGAGGAACTGACCTCGAAGGAACGCCTCCGGGGGAGAGCGGGAAGCAACGAACGCCGACGTGTGAGAAGGGAAGCAGAGAGCGGCGGCGCGGAAGATGGTTAATGCCAAACCCTAATGTTTTCTCTCTCTAGAATGTGTGAGAATGAAGGAAGCCTTGGGGCTATTTATACTAAAAGTGGGCCCGGATAGTGATGGGCCGAACAGGTGTCACGATG